TTTGTACATAAACTTTTTTTTCCCACTAGTGGGTGACAAATGTGAAGTCCTACCGAAAAAGTTTGTATGCAGTTGTGGGTTCACAGCTTAGAGTTTGGAGAGGCTGCTGGGATAAGGGTGGGGAGCTAAAAAGGACGGGGAGCTAAAAAGGAGATATTAAAGAGTATAGAGCATAAAAATCAGTCATTAAGAAATAAAGGTAGGAGCAAATGTGAGTGAAGGGGCAAAGAATTGTGGAGTTTATTATTACTGAAAAGATGTTATATAAGCCTTTTAGTATACAGCTTACCTAAGATGTTCTCTATTTCCCCAGGTAGGAAAAAAGTTCCTTGTTTCCCACTTTCATGAGATAGCTCAGTCTTCTCAAAACTCTCAATGCTTCACAATAATGAGAAACCATATGCTGAAGGAGAAATATTAATAGAAAATGCTGTCTTTCACATGCTCACTGAATCAATTGGAGGCAGTTGACACATCTTTAGTAAGCTGTGTATGAATCTTAGCTTATTAACTACTCCTGTATTATGTATGCAATTCCAATTCTTAATATGACACGTCAATAAACTAGATCTGAAAAGGTGTCATTTCGGTTTCAACATTTCCAATTGTATTTTTAGATGTTCTTCCACTCAGAAGCGTTTGTGTTATTTCCTGATTTTACAAGCTATGGACGAGTGGGTGTGGTACTGATTTGAATGGGAAACCACTGCTATCCTATAACCTTTTCAAAGATTGTACTCTAGTTATATTCTAAGAAAATAATTTGCTCCTCCCTGATAATATTTTAGCCTTCTCTAAGCCATCATCCAGTCCCCCCTCCATGTATAGACAACTTAGCCACACAATGTGTGTACCACGATTTAATTGTCAAATTCTTTAAGTGTGCGTGAAAGTTGAGAAAGAGGAAAAAAATTCCATATAATACACTTCGCCTAGAATGTTTCTTATATGCAGATATGGAAGCCACCATAGACTTTTACAGGGATTCTTCTATGTAACTGAACTACTCACCAGTCAGATTGTCAGTCTCTCAGCCTTTCACAGAGTAGTCAGTGTTGTGAAATGTCAGGCTACCATAGCAAGGGCATTGCCACCACTGGCACCAACTCAGTTCAACTACATTTGAATGCTCACTGCAAGCAGATGGTGTGCTTAATGCTGGAAACGAAAAGTAAACCAGACCAGCATGGGCCTCAAAGAAGGTGAAGAGGGGAAAGGGAAAACACTTATGAAATACTTTTTACTAGTCATTATGCTAGGTACATTATATACTATCTTGTTCAATCTATAATACTGGCTTTTTAGATATTACTGGGAGAAAATAAGGAACTTGTCCAAGACCAACTAATAAAAAGCTGTTACAGAATTCAAAGCAAGGTCTGTCTATTCCAACCCATGTTCTTGTTTTTCATTGGTTCACTTATTTTTTTATTTATTTAACCCACTTTATGCCCATCCAAGTGCTTCCTTACTTTGTAGGAAAATTCCCAGTTGAATGGAGAAATTAGTAGGCATTCAGGCCATGGCAATATATATTTTTAAATTTATTTTCAATTATAATTTACATTTAATATTATTTTGTATCAGTTTCAGGTGTATAGCACAGTGGTTAGACAATAATGTACTTTACAAAGTGGTCCACCTGATATTTCCGGTTCTCAACTAGCACAATGCATAGTTATTACAATACTATTGACTATATTCCCTAGCCTATACTTTATATCCCCATGACTATTTTATAACTACCAATCTGTACTTGTCAATCCCTTTTGCTTTTTCATCCAGTCCTTCAACTCCTCACCCCTCTGGCATTCATCAATCTGTTCTCTGTACCTCTGTTTGATTATATTGCTCTTTAGATTCCACATATAAGTGAAATCATATGGCATTTGTCTTTCTCTGGCTGACTTATTTCACTTAGCTTAATATCTTCTAGGTCCATCCATGCTGCCACAAATGGTTAGATTTCATTCTTTTTTATGGCCAAATAATATTTCATTGTATATCTGTATCACAGCTTTTTTATCCACTCCTCTAGTGCTTCAAACCATGGCCATATTACGTGGAATAAAATGTGCTAGAGTAACACAGCACAGAAGAACTGACTCTGTCTAGGGAAATTCACAAGTATTTTACCTGGGTATTAAACTGACTTGGTGAAGTTTAAATTTCTGCCCAAGCACTGTGGCAGTGATCTTGCAAATTCATATATCTCCAATTAAGCAACTCCACACCCAGCCTTTCTGCAACCACTCTTGACTAGATCATATGCTCCTTAAAACAGATGTTTGCTGGGTATACACATGTGAATCACTTCCTACTTATCATTTGCCCAGTTTGATTTATGGCTGCTGCTTTTGTAGTCCTCAATGTCAATTGATTGTTTTTTTGGAGATTCTGACACTGACTTGATCATCACTATGGCCAGAAATGTTCATGAAATTAGAAAGGTTTCCTCTCCTCCCCTCACTTCTTCTTTCCTCTACCACCTTTTAACAGTAAGACATACTTTATTCAGGACTGTCAGGATAGGTATAGAGACTACTGCCCACCTCGTCTGTTATCACCTTTACTGCCTGAAACAAGTGGTTCAATAGATCCTCAGGTAAATTCTGTTACTACCATGGGGTATATATCTTTGCATATACTCATTGGTGTGTAGCTTTAGCTTCAGATGACCATATATAGGGTATCCAAGTGTTCCAAGAACTCTGTCCTGGGCATACTGTACCAATTCACTCTCTTGTTTTCTTTATTTTTCTGAGTTTCTGGTGTCTCATAAGATCCAAGTGGTCTCATGAAGCATCACAATGTTTTAGCAACATCAAGCTGCAAGGAGGCTTTCTAGCCTTTAAGTAGAAAGATTAGATCTGCTGTATTCTATGATGTTGCAACTGGCTTTCCTTCTCTCTCCCTCCCTCTCCCCCTTCCCTCCCTCCCTCCCCCCACCCTCCCTCTCTCCCTCCCTCTTTTCCTCCCTTCCTCCCTCTCTCCCCCTTTGTCTCTTTCATTGGCAGTCCAATCCATATTATGGTGGAACTCTTCTAAGAATAACTGCAACTTTGAAAGCTGTGACTGTGGGAGGTATTATTTATAGGCCTTTGCGGTTTCAGGAGCAAGAAGAAAAGCTTCTAAGCTTAGTTCTACTAGGAAGACTACCCCATCCCACTTTCACCAATACCATCTTCTGCAGGATATTTTTCCTATAATTTCTTATAAAAGTGGATAGTTTGTTTGTTTGTTTGTTTGTTTGTTTGCAGCAGTATATTTGAAATACCCTGCATGGTTTTCTCCATTTTATTAAGTTCATCTACCTAATAGCAGGTGATTACAAATTGGGCGTCATGAGGCACATCATATTAGGAACTGTGTTTGGCTTTAGTATCAGAGAACCATTCATAAAGGTCCCAGTACACAGAGGCTTAATTTCTTATGACAAAGAAGCTCAGAGACAGGTAGGACCAGTGATTGCCCCACAGACTCAGGGATGTGCCTCCCAGCCATGTGCCCCACTCTGCTGGGCCTCTGTTCTCAGTGTCATCTCATGCTATAACCATTCTGTCTTCATTCTGAAGAGCAGAGGTAAAAAGGCTAAAAAGCTAAACCAGCATCCTCTCCTTGGTCTCCCCAGAAGTCCCACATTACATTTGGATTTAAGTCTCAATGGCCAATCTTAGTCACACTGCCACTCCAGCTGCCAAGGAAGCTAGGAAATGAGATCTTTTAAGTAAGTATATTGGCATTCTGGCGATGATGGGATTGCCTTGCTAAGGAAGAAGAGAATGGATATTTGGTGGGTGTTGCCTCTCTTGTATGTCATCTTTCGCAGCAGTGGACTGTTTAGGGTCACCCAGAGCTCTGTGCTAATAGTTAGAGATTAAAGCATAGAAAATGTTTGAGTTCAATAATTATTCTCCACCCTGGTTAAAATTATGGCAAGATGAATTCTCTAGTGAGCTAAGTAACTTAGTTTTAATATGCCATTCATGCCCATAAAAGTAAAAAAATAAACAAAATGAAGAAAATAAATTCATGTGGCACATGCAGTTTTGAAGAACTTATTTTTTTTTATGTATATGACTACATTTTATACTTTCAATTTTTGTTTTTGCACTTTCCTAATTCATAGCAAAAACAAAACAAAATGTATTCCAGAAACAGGGTAATATAGAAGTAATAAAAAAATATTTACTCTTCTACAAAATCAAGCAAACAATAGAATATTGGTAATTAAATCACACTGTGTGTCCTTGTGTGTTTGTTTTCTGTGCTGCTGTAACAAACTGCCACAAGCTCATACAACACAAATTTATTATCTTACATTCCTGGAGGCCAGAAAATGGAAATCAGTTCGCTGTCTTCCTGCTGGGGGCCTATTTCCTTTATTTTTCTAGTTGTTAGAGGCTGTTTCATTCCTTGGCCCATGGCCTTTTATCCCACAGCCATTTCTCTTCCTGCTTCCTCTGTCACATGACTTCTGTCTCTGGCTCTAATCTTCTTGGTTCCTTCTTAACCACCTTCGTGATTACACTGGGCCCACCCTTATAATCCAGCAGGATCTCCCCATCTCATAACCCCTAATTTAATCACATGCAACATCCCTTTTGATATGAAGGGTAAAATACTTACAGGTTCCAGAAATTAGGACATGGACATCTGTGGAAGTTCATTATTCATCCTACCACACCTGGTATAATAGTAAAACACTTGTGAGATTTGATTCAATAGCTAAATCAGCACCTTATGCATGTCCTTCCCAGGAGTCCCAGATAATACTTTGACTTCTGTCTCTATAGCCAGTCTCAGTCACATGGCCATGATCTAATTCAGAGTCAAAATGAAGAAACTTCATGATAATGTTGAGCATACTTATTCCCTTTGGCTGCTGAGTAGGACTTCAAGCTGCTAATTCTTAGTCCAAAATTCTCCTTAAAAAATTCCCTCGTGTATCTATGAAATCTTATTTTTTTTCTAACCTTTGTTTTTATTTTATTTTTCAGAAAAGCAAGACAACAACACAAGAATTGAAACTATGAAGTCCCTTGTACAAAAACTCCCTCCACCAAATCGTGACACCATGAAAGTCCTCTTTGGACATCTGACTAAGTAAGTTATAAAGGTATCTTGTTGTGTCATATACTCCTTTCATAAATTAACAATATTTCATTTCAGATATCTAAAACAAGAATTTTCAAATACATTTATCTCATATTTTCCCCTCTCACTCATCTAAGTCTTCCTGCAAAAGTTGGGAGAATGTATTAAGGGTAGGAAGGAGAAGCTACAAAAGGAACTTCTGACTGAATTGATTTATCTTGGCCTTTTCAGTGAACAGATATTTGCTGATTAGTCAGAACTCTACTCAGAGCCCTGAGATGGGACATCTTTACTTTGTTGTATAGTACAATGGGAAAGGCATGAGATGTTTCAGACATGAGTTCAAAACCTAGCCCTGCCTTGTACCAAGACTAGGACCATAAATGAGTTAACTTACATTCCCTGAAATTTTATTTCCTCATCTGTAAAATGTTGATTCAGATTATCAAGGTGCCATCCTGAAAGAGAAGAGTGTTCTAATCAGGGGAGAAAAATAACAAGTGTAAAAAACCCAAAGAACCCAAAGAGCTTATTGTATTTGAAAAGCCAGGATGGCTAGAGCCTAGGGGGATGGTGGTGGGAGTTCAGGTCACAAATGTTATGTGGGTGTCAGATCACAGTAAGACATTTGTAACCCATTGTAAATACAATGAAGAGCCACAACTGGGGAAATATAAAAGGTCACAGTGGCCATGTGAAGAATGGATTGCAAAAGGGAAAGCAGGGGCGCCTATTAGGAGGCAACCCTAGTAGTCCAGGCAAATCAAAATGGTGGCTTGAGTGGAGCCCTCGGAGAGATATTCTGGAGGTGGGTCAGGTTGGATTTGCCTGGTTGGGATGCAGTGGGTAAGGGAAAGGAGAAATCAAGAATGTCTTTTAGGGCTTGGGCTTGTGCGAATGGGAAAAAGGTAGTGCTACACAGATGGGTAAGGAGAGGGCCCTCTTGGACATGATAAATTTGAAATGACTGTTACTATTTGTCCTCTGTTAATGTCTTCCTCAGATAAGACAGAGCTCAATACAAGTGATAAGGTTTTAGCTTTGACCATATGCATATGGCAGTGTTGAAGCTTGTTAGAGTTTATTTCTGTGAGATTAAATCTCCTTCATCATCTTAATCGTCATTCCTTGGGTCTGGTCATTTCTGAAGATTATTCAATGAGTTTGTCACATGAGTTTTAATTGTAAATGTAATACATGTGATTGCTCACACAAAAAATTTAAACAGTAGTGAATATTTTATTAAAAAGTGAAATTTGCCTACTAGTCATTCTTAGCCTGCTGGGTAGAAATAACTAACACTTTTGTAGTATATGTCTTTCCAGACCTGTTTCTAAGCACATGCAAAAATGTGTGTATGGTTGTTGATTGTGTCAAAGTATATCATACAGCACATATTCTCCTACAACTACTTTGCAAGTCATAGACAGCTTCATATTTCATTAAGATTCATCTGATTCTTTCTAATGATGACATAGTATTCAATGGTATGCATAGCTCCTAATTTGCTTAACCAGTTAGGTAGATGTCTTAATCTAATTTGTCATATTATCCTCTTACTTATTTTACTCCCAAGGGGCACCTGTGTCACAATTTAGAGGACCCCTTGTTGTTAGAATGGCCTTTCCTGTCACCTCTACATCCTGGCTACAGTGGGAAACCCAGTGTGATTTAGTGAAAGGATCTTGGGGCTTTCAAGAAATAAGTAGATCTAGTGTCAAATCCTTGTCCCATACTAACTCCCTTAATAATCCCAGGCACATAAAATTGGATTAAATTATGTCAGCCATATCCTGTGGTTATGAGAATTAAATGAGATAATGCATATAAAATGCCTGGCACAGGGTAAGCATTCCTCAAATGTTAATTCTTTTCCCGTAGGATCCAGTCACACTGTGGAAAGGGTTTCAGGTTACAAGTAAATACCAGAGTGCTTATCTCAGTAACGTTAACTGGACAAAGTCATAAAACAAATGAGAACGTGTACTCTTTAATGCAATGCAATACCTAGTCTTGTAGATCTTGAGAAATATCAGTTACTCAGTCTCAATTAATCCTCTTTCATTCCAACTGAAAGAACAGCTATAAAATGAAGAAAAGGAAAGTCGGCTAAATAGTTCTTTGAAAAAAAGAATAAAATGCACAGATGAGAATCCATCCAATTAAAAACCTTGGAAGGATGAGAATCCTTCACCTCCATGCCACACCATTCCAGTGTGAACAACTAAAGCCTGATTGTGTTTTTATGCCTAAATTAACTTCATGACTTCGCTAGAACTTTCATTCAGCTAGTAAAGATGGAAATAAATGTCTCTAAGATTTAAGAACGCATTATTATATCACCTTCACAGCATTCACATTATAAGATATTTCATTATAGATAGAGGAGTGTCATTTGCCAGTCATTCTACCTTTCTTGAGTGGTGTGACCATATTCCCCTGCACACTGATTTTTACTAGTAAACTGGGTTTAATTATGCACAAGTGTGTGCACATGATTATATCTTGTTAAGTATTTCTTGCTAAGTTTTTGATAAACAGCCAATCGTGGCATGTCATCAAAGCCTGAGAAGACTAAATAAGAAGATTGTTTAATGAGAATTTAAATATATTCATGTTTGAAAGAATCATTAGAATGTTTTCCTTAGCCTTGATGCATTTGGTAGTTCTTCAGAAAAATCTACCATCAACACTTGTATGCAGTGTTTATTCCAAATTGTTGCAAATATATATATTTTGAAGTTTGTTTAGTGAGGGTCAGGGAATGTAATGAAGTGCCAGGAATTCCACTTGGCCTACGTACTCTATAGCCAACAGAACAGAGCTCCATGCTTGCAAAGGTCTGCATTAAACGTTCCCTTGAAAGCAGAGAAGTGCCAGCTGAGAAAGCTTGATACTGCACAGTTGGACTAGAAGGTGAATGCAAGTTCTGGCCATGAAGCTATAACTTTAAAGTGTTGTGATTATATTAACCATGTGATTACAGAATGGCTGTAAAGGCTAAATAGTCTCAGAGTCCTTGTTCTTGATCAAACTGAAGTTCAAGTCCTATGCTTCTGCTGTGATAGCTTGAGATCAGGAATTCAGAAGAAGCTATCATTTTCAAATGCCATCAACTCACAGCCCTTATTTACAGCCGCTTTCACAAACTGACATTACACTGAGAAGCACTGGAAGGTCCTGGGGTACCTGCTGAACCGTGACATAAATGGCAAGTTCTATCTCTATAAAATATAAGTGTCAAGTGCATTTTCCTTTAGCCTGCTTCTTTGGAAAGGTAGGGAGGCAGAGCGAAGCTGAAGTTAATGGGAAGGATGACCTGGAAAGGTAAGGTTTACTTGCTGGTAAAAAAAAAATCTGGTGTGTAGGTTGAGAGGTTGAAAGCCAGGCAGAGGACGTATATAGGAAATAGAGAACTGTCGAAACCTTACCTATCAGGCAATTGCAAAACATGCTTAGTGTTTATGAAAGACACACTTGGCAGCAGAGTGCAAGGAGAACAAGACAGAATGAGAGACGAGCCCAGGAGGCCACACAGATAGGTTGGAGGGCTGATCATCAAGGGGAAAGAAATGGTCCAAGTCTTGAGACTTTTCATTTAAAAAAATTCGCGGTTTTGTTGTTGCTGTTTTTATCCTCACTCAAGGATATTTTTCCATTGATCTTTTAAAGAGAGTAGAAAGGAGGGAAAGAGAGAGAGAGAGAGAGAGAGAGAGAGAGAGAGAGAGAGAGAGAGAGAGAGAGAGAGAGAGAGAGATCGTGTGAGAGAGACACATAGATTGGTTCTCTCCCAGGTACATGCCCTTGCCAGGAGTCTAACTCAAATCCTCCAATCGGCAGGTTGACATTCTAACCACTGAGCTTGCCAGCCAAGGCCACACAGTTTTTATTTCTTTCCTTTCTTTATCCCCCATATCTAATCAGCCATGGAGATAAGTCTGAGGTTTCAAACTGTGAAAACAGTCCCTCCAACATTAATTTTAAAAAGCAAAAGGAAGTACTGCTAGAATGGTGCACCCTTTTCTCTGTTTTGCAAATGCATAGAGGAGAAAGAAGAAGATGAGGTTATAGAAAATGAGTAAAATAAGATAAATCCCATTTTGTCAGGTGTGTATTGAATCAAGCCCTCTACACGCTGCTCAGTGGGGTATATCTCTCTGCATGTTGGTAAGGCAAACATGTAATATATCTCAAGAATGAAAACTTTTTCAAATCTTTATACAATTTGCGTGGTCATCTTAACTGCTGGGACCCTATCCTAAGTAACAGCAAGCTGGTTCTGCAGATAAATTGTTTACAACATAACATTTGCACTGGTGGACACCTGGAGACCAGTGAAACATTCAGTGATGAGGGATAGAAGGTGGCACATGATATCAGTTCATATTATTTTAGGGAAATATTGTTCATAGTGAATTGGGATTTTTTTAATTCAGGGAAATGCTTGTGCTACATTAAAGGCGGGGGTATAAGATTTTATATACTCAGAGAAAGTAGAACTATAAATATATGAAAAAGTCATGCATCTGGAAAAGACTGTAAAGGCATTTGCTGAGATGTTACTATTTCTTTCTTAGAGTTGCTGAATTATGAGGTTTATTTCTCTCATGTGTTCCTTTTTTCACTTCTACCAACGGTTTAGAAGGAGACACTGAGATGGGGAGGACAGGTAAAGAGAACAGGCATGGGAGGTAGAAGACCTGAGTGTGAGTCGAGGCTCTGCCCCTCACTGGAGACGCACCTTGAATAAGTCCCTATACTCTGAGCTTTCTTTTTCTCATCTACAAAGTAGAGATTGCAATTGATCCTATTTGTGTGAGGCGGAGTCAATGAATAACCTTTTTAAAAGCCCGTGTTAGGGTCTAGATAAACATTATATGTTGACATGTACTATTTTTATAGTGAGAAATTGTAAAATAACTTTCATTGAAATAAATACAGAAAGAATTGCAAAGGCTGGGTTGCCAAATTCCTGGCTTCCAGAAAATTCTTTGTCTCACCACAGAACC